AGGGAGGTTGTTGGGTTCACTAGGCTTCGCTAGCCTGGTGGTAGCCAAGGCGGAGCTTTCCATCTTAGCTCTCGAGGGCCTCGTGGCTATGCCCTCTACCCCCGCGTCTACAGCCACACTAGTGGACGGTGCAATGCTTTGCATGAGCAATCCTAACACCAGGCGGCTGCTCCGGGACTTGGGACCCGGACGGCTCGGAGTCGAAAACTTGATTTGCGAAGGGTGGTCTCGTGGCCTGTCTTCAGCGTGTTGGGGCTCTGGCAGGATGAGAGGCAGGGCTGCGACTACCCGGACACATGACTGGAACATTGAGCGCAGGCCCTCACGGAGGGAGTGGAGGATGTAGGGCAGATTAATGTAGGCTTTCTGCCAGAGTTGCTTGCACTTGCTAGGTTTAGCTGAGTTCAGGCGTTTGAAGCAAAACCTGTGACCCCAAGATTCCTGCCGAGGTCCAGGCCGACATCGCCTGTGTTGCCAGATGTGAGAGGAGAACCTTCCGGGGTCTCCACAGCTCAAGTTGCGAAGCTGGGCGATACGAACAAGGCAGGCATTCGGACTGGGCTGTGTCAGAGGCGCACCTTTCCACATAGGGCATTGTGCTTGCATCCCGAGCTGGGGCCTTTGGGAGTCGCGGTGTCGGCCATCCTGCCAGCAGCGTGACTGAGGCTGCCGTTGACCCCACGGGGGTGAAGAGAGCCTGGCATGACCATCGAGTGTCACTGAGCGAGGGGTAGTGACCGACTTCTGGCAATGGAGGCACTGAGGTTGAGGCGGAGGCAAAACCTCCGGTCCTATGCTCAGGTTGGGTTCCGCGGGCCATTGGCAGGTGTCGGGTTGGGCAGGGGTTATGGGTGAGCCGCAGCTGCTATCGCTAAGGCGTGCATGTGTGCAGTCGCAGGCAGCTGTCCAGACCCTTACCTGAGGGCTGCGCCAAGGCCTGTCGTGGTCGCATTGGTGGCTGACCTGCAGAGGCGAGGCTGGGGAGATTTTGTCAGGCAGAGTATGTAGATCGGGCTTGCTTTGTCTCGCATTGGCAGAAGTCGGGGGCTGCCGAGCTTTTGCCGCGCTTTTGGACGATTCCGTTGGCCTGATTCTGTAACAGGCGCGGCATCTGTAGCCAGCCCGTACCAACATCTCGGTGCGGCGGACCTGGGGTCCTTGAAGGGCCAGGATCCTCTTGGCTGCCAGCAGATGGCTTGCGTTTGAAGGCGCCGGCATGAGGTGTGGCGCCACACTGGGCCTGATCGGTGGCTGTGTGCCACTGCTGGTACGCTTCCTGTTCCTTCTGGGTGCATTCTGCTGCGGATCCGGCTCAATCAGGGGTTCCGGCGGCGAGATGTGGCCATTGAAGCAGTGGTGGCCTCAGCCTGTGAGAGAACAAACTGCCTACTGGTGTACCCGAGGCAGGCGGAGGGGTCCCTAACGGGTGTCGCAATGGCGGTAGTTTCTTTGTGTTGGGGGAGGCTGGCCCTAGCTCCTCCGAACCCATCTCCTGGTTGGCCTCCAAAAAGATGTCGGAGTCCACATCGCTCTCTGCACTGCCGTCCCAGTCGCTAAAGGGGGGAATGTTGGCCCGATCCCTGCGAGACATGGCTGGGGGAGTTGCAGTCGGCGGGTCAGCTGCGAGGCTGAGGGTGTAAGTATAGGCTATGAGGCGGGCACGCCGAGCTTGTCGCAAACAGGGTATGCTGTGTGGGCAGGCATGTGCTGTGTGAAGCCTATGTGCATGCAGTCGCAGTGCAGGCCTCCCGGCGAGGCGGTAGACTGCTGCCTGCCCTCCGCACCCAGAGTCAGCAACGCATCCTGCAGTGAGCTGATGACAGGATTCAGTGGGCTGCTGGGAGGAGATCGCGGGTTGTCTGGGCTGCCAGGAGAAGACGGAGGAAGTGGGCGTTTTATCGGAAGTGGGCGTTTTATCGCCAGAGCTGAGGTGAGCATGTGCTGGGCTCAAACTATGCAGGCCCCAGACCGTTGCGATACCGCCGGGCTTAGCTCCAGACTGGCAAAGGCAGGTCCAGGCGCGGTCCTGGTGGGTGACAGGGGTCAAATCTTGTGAGGAGCCTAGGGCAGTGAGAGGTGGGGCTACCTGCTCTGTCGCTCTGCTGCAGAACGCCATGTATGCATCAGCTGGGCGGGTGGTCTCATCCACAAGGGGAGGTTCGGCTTCGATCCTCTCTGAATTTGCATTGGCAGACGGAGCAGGCTCAGCGTCAGAATGTCTTGATCTTTTGCTCTTTCTGGTGCTCCTTCTCGAGGTGGACTCCATTGAGCAGCTGGGTGGTGGAGGAGCTGGACTTGACGGCGGATGCTGCAAGGCACTCAGCACCCAGTCCGGCATGTGCAAGATTGGTGCTCCTTCCGTCCCTGGTCCTCTGTCTACATTGGCGTGTCCCAGTAGAGGCTGAAGTAGCTCGGGACTTGATCGTGCCAACAGCCTCAAAGACCACACCGGAACCATCCGGTTGTGGCGTAGGTAGCACTAGCTCCATGGTGAGGTCAGCGCCTGGCTCCCATCTGACAGCAGGGAGGAAGGCTCGGAGGATATGCAACCTCCGGAGCCTTCTGCTGTCCGTCCCGGTTTCGCCTGGTCTGCCGTTGCCATACTGGTAGAGGCCTGCATCTCCTCGGGGGAGGACGCCACATTCTCATCTTCCTTTTTGCCGTGGTTCAGGTGTCAAGGGGGGCTGTGACGGCTTGCACTTGCTCTTGAGATTTCCGTATGATCACCCTGGCTTGTCCCGGTGAGAGCCGCAGTCTGGTGGCTTTCTTGAGCTGAGTCTGTCGATCCTGCTTCTGGCGTTGAAAGCGCCGATGGAACCCTTGGCGAACCTGTAGGGGTGCTCCGGCGCAGGTGTCACTGGCACAGCCATCTGAACTGATGAGCTCAGCGTCTCCTCCTGCTTTGCAACAAGGCCAGTGGTTGGCTCCGGCACAGGAGCTGATTCGGTCACTGGCACGCCTCGACGAGCTCTAGGAAGCGGAGGTGGCTGACGGTTTCCACTCCTTTGCGTCCTTCTGTCGGATCTGAGCTCGATGAGGGGTTTCGCTGATTTCTGGACATGTCTACATCCATGTCCTCGTCAGGCGGCTGGCCTGCCTCAGCCAATGCCTTAAGGCGGAGCCGCGTCCGCTTATCAGGGCGTCTTGCTTCGCGAATGTAATCCCGCTCCGTGTTTATTCTGTGGCTCATGGCTACTGGAGCTAGAGTCGCTACTGAAGCACCTGAGGGCTTGAGAGGAGGCGGCATGGCAGGCAAGGCAATGGGTGCTGAAGGCATGGTAGCACTGCAAGGTCAGGAGGCATCGTATGAGACTTGGTATGGCTGTCCTCCTGCTCGAGGGGAAGTTCTCGAAGCAGCCCAGGGAGAGAGGGTCCTTGTGACCTGGCGCCAGGGTATTGCGCAGAAGGAAGGCGGAGGGGAACCTCCTAGCCTGGGTTGCACCGGTGGTGTGAAGCTTTCTGGGATTGTTGTGGGGAGAACGGGAGAAGTGAAGATGTTCGGAGGGGAACCTCCAGTGATATTGCAGAGGTTCAGGCCAGGCGCAAAAGGGGGTGGGGTCCTTAAGGCTCTCATCCAGGCTAGTGCGGGTCGCCGGGGCGCATGATATGTGCAACTTGCTGAAGTGCGACACCCTCTATGTGGAAGTTCTGAGGCCGCGGCCGTTGTCAGGGTGTGGCCCTGTAGCAGAAGGCATAGCAGGCATAGCAGCAGGCACAAGCTCAAGGTCCTGTGTCTCTGGTGCCGGGAGATCCGGGCACGGTACCATCCAGCATGCCTGTGGGGTGGTGGGCCTATGGTGCCTAGCAGTCCGTCCCATTTCCTTCTGGTACCTCCAAACATGCGGTAGCAGACTTCGCAGAGGGATTGTAGGGTTTTAATCCAGTGCCTCAAGGTCAGCTGCTCGACAGATTCTGGAAGCGTAGGCAGCATCCAACATGCTTGCAGCAAAAACAGAATCAACCTTGTAAGTAGAATCCAGAAAATCCACGCGCTGTTCCGGGGAGAGCCAGGGCCAGGTTTCTTGCCAGATGCAGAAAGAGGAGGTACGTAGCCAGGAGCTGCCGTAGAGATTCTGTAGGCTGATCCTAGAGCTGAAGGGCAGGGGTCGCAGGGCCAGAAGGAGGTATTCAGTGGCCAATTGCCGGATATGAATCTTTTGCGATGTCTCCCATCGCCACCACGTAGCCCGAAGCGGGATCTTATTTGTGCCATGAGGAGAGCACAAAGCCATGTCCATGTCATAATCGCGCCCCTGAATCCCTGAAGACAATGGGGTAGTGGTGAGCGGGGAGGTAGTCCGATGTGGCCAGTGAAGAGGGAAGTTAAAACGAAAACCACCCCCGGGCGTGTCGTTACGAGCCGAGACACTTAGTAGTAGTAGTAGTAGTAGTAGTAGTAGTAGTAGTAGTAGTAGTAGTAGTAGTAGTAGTAGTAGTAGTAGTAGTAGTACACTCCTCCTGCTGCTGCCGCTCCTTCTGCCACCACCTTGGCCCACCTCTCGACTACTATAGACTATAGGTACTTCCGGCACCATCAGCACCACGACCACTACCAATTAGAAGACATTCGGTTCAAGGGAAGTACGAGGAAGTCGTACGTCTATAGGAGGTTTGGGTTTATAAAGGGATGTAATAGGAGATTTGGGGTTCAGGGAAGGGTGCTAGGGCATGGGTTTAAGCCACGTGCTCTTTCATTCTCTTTCGAGGTTTGCAATACGACAGAGCTTCTGTAGGGGATCCGGGGTTGCGTTGTGGCCTTGGCTAAATGAAACTACAGCAGAAAGCTAATGCAGGTCCCGAAGTTTTGTGGGCCACACGTTTTGGCCCACCACTACACCAGCACCTGGCTAGAACTCCTTGCACGGTGCACAGCAAGGCCCAGCGACACAGCATCTAGGAGCTGGCATGCTCTAGGTGTTGCAGCTCAGAGCGAAGGCACTCATCACCACAAGCCTCAGAACATATAGACATACTAGGCTAGCTCGCAAGAGTAGACAATATTACAGATGGTCATATGAAAGGCCAGGGGCTTGCTGAAGTACCTCGTCCTTGAAGCTCTCCATGACACCAGTCCAGCTGTCCGGTATCCTCAGATCACGGGGAGCATAGCGCAGCCGGCCAAGGAAGCCTACTATGGGACCACTGGGCATGCTAGCATATACGACAAGCCACTTGCAGTTCTTTGACCCGTACAGATAGAGGAAGGTTTCATGGACACGAGCATCCAACCAAAGATCCCCTGTAGGTAGGGTGGCAAAGATCTCCTTGTCACTGTTGCCCAGGTCTACAGCCCTACGTGCGCAGATATCGGCACGGTCCACAGCAGGCAACTTGCGCCACTCTTGGAAAGCCTTGAGCAGGTTCTCATCAAAGGCCCGGGTGTAGACCCTAAATTGCTATAGACTTTAGATCGAGTCTAGAAACCCACATAGCCGGAGCATCAACAGTACAATATATACGAACCTCTAGGACATAGCCAAGGGTCCCAGAGTCTTTCAATGGCATTGGTTTCCCCACAAAACGTTTTACATTGTTCTTGTCGATGTACCTGCCTCGGATCAGGTAGGTTTAAATATCAGGAGGGCAAGGCTAGCACAGGGATAGGGATCACATAGTGAGTTGTATGGTATAAATATAAATATATATATATATATATATATAGGTGATGTAACTTTGGGGTTTGGGGCTTTAGCCGGGTTGTGTGTATAGGTATACATACATATATATATATACACATATCATAGAGCTTTGGGATAAGGTTTAAGGTTTCAGGTTTATGGGTTAAGGTCTAGTTATTATAGGGTGTAAGTTTCCGGGCTAGGATTGAGGTAGGGTTTCGGCTTTAGGGTTAAGGCGGGTTCAGGTCGAGCTTATGGGTTCAAAATGAAAGCCTAGGCACGGACTAGCTTGTTGGCCTGCAGAGCCTCTTTCTGGGTTTTCTTCCTAATCCCAAGATCCAGAAGTGAAATCGTAGGCATCGAAGAACATAACCACGTGCGCTTGGGGCACTTGGCTCCATGTTGACCCATCCAGAAAGCTTGCTTGTAAACCTAGGTTATCTGATATGATATCCATCAAATCATGCAATGACAAACCAGCCCAAGCTCTAAAGCCCTGCATGCAGGTAGGTATCTTTGGCAACACGATTGCATAGCCATTGCCATCGGGGGTGCTCTGCTAACAGAGACCCTTCTGGCTGTTCCAATACCCAAGCACCATGCTTGGGCAGGATAAGAAGAATCAACAGCACACACCTTAGTCTCCTACGTGGAAGACCCAAACAGAGACAGCCCCATGCAGCTAAGACGTCATATGTGTAACATGTTGGAACCGGGAGATATGCCGCCAATGCTCCGTGAAACTGTGCAATTGTTGTCATCGATCCATTTCAGCCCTTGGCGGCTGAAATGGATTTATCAAAGATGGAAGGCTGCTTCCACGAGACAGTGCTACCCATGAGCCACAGTCTGGGGCGATGAGGTTCATGGCATCTGGTACTTCACAAAGTACAACGTACAAAGCAAGCCTCAGATACATCAAGCCTACTCGTAGGAGTGCAACAGGTGCTTAAGCATCGCTACTTGTATGCAGGACAAGAACCCAAAGCCAGCACAAGACACAAAGTCCATGGACTTGTTGTCGTAGATGTGGTCATACGAAGCGACGGTATAGCCATTGTCTCGATTGTCCTTCCTCAAGTGTATGATGCATGGAACTCAGAAGCCTGGAGCCCCTAACTTGACTGCTTGTGCAAAGCGTGATGTCAGCCTAGTGTCCAGACAGCTGAGACATGGCCCACCCCAGCGAACACTTCGAACATCGAGTACCGTTCATCCCAAGCCAGGTTGCTCATCCATCTGAGACAGAGCACCTCAGAAGAACCACAATCGGCCCCCCAAGAATAAAGATAAAGTAAAATATAACTGAATTTATTATAGCTATGCTATACAGAGTAGTACTATATACTTGCACCATCCCAAGATGCTGACCGTCCCGATGAAAACCTCAGATGCATCACAGATGTACATCCACAGCAGCACTCACGTGAAGGAATATATAAAGTGCGTACATGATACGAACAGCTGAGTGGCCTTTGGGGCATTGAGTTGAGCAAGGTTCACGACCATGGAATACATGTTCCCCATTGCATAAGAGCTCACACACTGCTAGCTGGTCCCGACTCAGCCAAAGGCAGCTGGAACAAAACCCCACTGCAAGCACATCAGGCACAACCGATAGCTTCAAACTGTCTGCTGCAGGCAAGCACGGCTCGGCTCTGGGGGAGGGCGCACCATGGCTCGGACCGCCCAGCCTTCACTCATCGAGCCAAGTCCTTCCATGCTGTTAACGGTGACATATAGCACTCTATAGCCCTAGCTGAAGTCGACTTGCTTGCACTGTGCCAGAAAGACATCACATGCATGCATGGCAGGCAGTTTCAGCACAGCTGGCTCTTTGAATCTCGCGTGGATTTGATCTGATGCTCATGACCCGGAGGGGTCTTTGTTGAAACACACAACCCCGGCTGGCATTCTATACTGAATCCCTGCTCCCCATACAGCGTGATTTGAGGGCCCTTGCCTCACACACTGAAACCCAAAATGGTCACTGGTATGCACATACGGCACAGTTCAGCTGGAACTGCATGTAGATCAAAAACCAAGACACATCGATCGTGAGCTCGAGCTAGTCAGTCTCTGCATAAGCCTCAGATTCCAAGTGTAGATCTAGAATTAAGATCGACGTGTAGATGTTCGAGCTTGGGCACACACACACACACACTCGCACTGCTGCATGTAATATAGTTTAGGAACCTGCTTTCCTGCCTTTTTTGCCTGCTCCTCTGTCTTTCCAGCCCGCCTTGCTTCCTTAACAGCACGATGGTATGCCACGGACTTCCGAGAGCGCTCCGCCCTCTTGTCCGCTGCAGCATCAGTAGCACTGTTCTTGCAAGCCGCTTTTGCTGAAGCTTTGGTCTTGGGCTTCGCAGCCACTTCCGGTGCTTTGTCGTTCTTTTTTGCGCTTGTTGCTGGGGACCTCATGCTACTCTGCCTCCTCCTCCTTGGCCGGCTTTCCCTTCTTGCTTTCCTTGGGCTCCTTCTCCTCCCGCTTGGTCTTTGCTTTTGGGGTCGCCTTTGCCTTTCCCTTGGCGGTCGCCTTTGCTTTGGCGGCCGCCTTTGCCTTGGCGGTTGCCTTTGCCTTGGCCTTTGATGCCCTCACTGCCTTCTTCGGCACTGCTTTGGCCTTAGGGACTTTGCGAGCACCCCTTCTTGCCAGCGTCCCCTCGTCATCATCATCATCATCATCATCATCATCATCCTCATCTTCCTCATGGTCAGTGGCAGTGGGCTCATCCTGTTCCTCCTGATCCTCATCCTGATCCTCCTGTTCATCCTCGTCCATCTCTTCATCCTCTTCCTCATCACAAGCCTTTGGCTTACGGCCTCGGCCACGGCCGCCGCGGCCGCGATGGCCGCCGCGACCCCTGCGACCTCCACGACCGCCGCGACCCCTGGATGCCTGTATTCCCAAAGCGACTCGCTGCTCTGCAGGTGTTCTCGGCTTGTGATCCATTTCGACTGGGCAGGGTGGCAAACGATCATAATAGACAGTAGCCTTGCTAGGGCTTGCAGCCTTTGCATGATCCTCGCAAACCTTTGCATCTAGCTTCCCATCCTTATCAACATCGAGTACCACATCATGCTCCGGTAGCTCCTCCTCCCCGTCTTCATCACAATCAGACACAGGATCAATTCTCAGTGATACACTGGAGGCCTTCTCAACCTTCTCCTCCAGAACATCACTTGCCAAAGGCACCTCGAGCCTTCTACATGTCCCTGGCAACTCTGCAGCTACCTCATCGTCTGTTGCCAAAGCTGCTCCCAGCCACGGCTCACCATCAAAGCACAGCTCCTGGGGAAGCGTGTCCACCAAGTGAGGACCTCCGATGCTGCCAAAGCACATATGTATGTTGTTTGCATTGGATGCAATGTACATGTGACACACGGCTAGCACTGCAACCAAGAAGCAAACTACACTCTCACTGGCCATGGGCTCCACCAGACGCAGCATTGGGGCTTCTCCAGCTTCGAGGGGCTCTGCTTTAGACTCCAGGATTGCTTGTAGGGCTTCTCCAGCTTCAAGGGGCTCCACTTTAGACTCCAAAATTGCTGGTGGGGCTTCTCCAGTTTCAAGGGGCCTTGCTTTAGACTCCGGGATTGCTGGCGGAGCACATTCAGCTTCAAGAGGCCGTGTGGTGGCCTCATTCATTGGCGTCGGCTTTGGGATTTTCGGTCGGGCCACTTCAGCTTCACCTTCCATGCTGCGCTTGCGATTCAGCAGCTCCCGTTCCTCCGCCTCCAAAGCAGACCGCCGTAAGGCCTGCTCCATTTGAGCCTCCTCCTCTTGCAGTTCCTTCTCAAAAAGCCTTTAGCTCCTCGAGCTGCATCAGCTCCTCCAACAGGGCCTGCTGTTTCTGCAACGATGCCAACTCCTCGAGCATCATTTCTTGGCTGGGAGTCACCTCTGAGTCAGCTTCGGATGCAGTGGGGCATCCTCCGGCGGAGACCCTGCTTTCGAGGCCCTACCACTTGACTTCGAGGCTGTCTCAAGGCGGTCATCCAAGGGCTGCAGGTTGGGCAGGGGGAAACATGGCTTTGCTTTCAGAATACTGATGTCTTTGCATTGCTGCCACATAGCACACACAAATGGCCATAGGAGGAATCCTTTACCAGATAGTGCTGCTTGCGCCGCTTTGCCTCGCTTCTTGGGCTCAGCGGTTCTTTGCCTTGATCAATATCACGGTTCAGGCTTCAGGGTCTAGGCCTTAGGGGTAGGTTACACACATGCAGGGTTAGGCTACATGGTAAATCATGCAATGCTCATGATGGAATGCACGTTCCCCCTGTTCTGCACTAGCCTTTACACTCGATCGGTACATGTATGGGGTCTAGCAGTTGCCGCCTGGGTGCGAGGAGGTGGCGTGACGATCGGCGGCGACGACGAGGATGATGCAGAGCCTGTGCTTGCAGAAGAGGTAGCATTCGAGTATGATACCATATTAAGGCTATAATTCAATCAAGGGACCTGGCTTGCCGATCGGCACCCAGCATTGCAACATCTCTTGTGGTCATATTCGACTCTGCCTCAGTTATCGTTCACCTAACTTGTAGATTGGCTATATTATCAAGGACATCGAAAGTGCACTCACTTGGGGCAATTTCAACCAAGCTTCCAGTGACACAGGCTTCAGAGGGTTCAGGGCTGCAGCAGTTGTTGGCCTCTCCTGATAGCTAGCTATATACATGCACATGGGGCACATAAACCGCAGGGCCTGGTTTGTTTCTAGACAAGAGGCCTTCACAGGGTCCAAGGGCTTGATTTCCGCACGTGGTGGTGCATCCTCAGCTGTAGTGCCAATAATAAACATATATTGTACTATATTACAGATATTTTGCATAGGTTTGGTAGTTTATAGGGTTTCCGATTGTAACATCATGCATGGGGCACTTCAGCTAAGGGACAGTGGGCGGTCCTGGAGTTCCATCCATATCTAACTCCAGCACCTCATCATCATCACCTTCCATTTCCGACTCTCCAGCTTCTCCTTCTCCGTCATCACTCTCATCATCTCCTGAGTCTGCAGCAGCTGAACCACCTCGGCTCATGCATAGAACATATTTTAATGACAAACTCGATGCACATCATAGCTGGGATTTGAGCAAAGGAGCGGGAGGACGGGATGGGTATCCCCGAGCATTTAAACAGTCGCCGGACACCTTCTTGGCGTGGCTCATGCGGCCGTCTTGCCAGCTGGGAGAAACAGGTGATGAGGCGCCGTGCCATCCAGGCTTGAACCTGGATCTCATGGCCTAGGGTGGGCAGGCAACATGCGTACTCACACACGTGGTTCTAACTTGCGTGCGCTGCATGGTATATGTAGCATAGTTGCTGGTTGGCATACGAAGGTTCATAGAGCGAAAGCCCATGAAAAATCTTCGGAAGAATTCGGCGATGATGTTGACTGATGGCCGCAAGCCTCGATCACCCACACACCGATCAGACAAGTTTCACAAGCAAGGCCATAACAAGCAGATGCAGGGCTAACTTGCAGTCCTGTCGGGTGTTCTCAAACTCGCACCAACAGCCCCGCATGCCAAGTACCTGCAATTGGCCAAGGATCTCCAGCGCTACATTGACTTCTACATCTACAAGCCAGCCAATGCACACACATACATGCGCACACACACCCACAGGCACAGATGTGCATGCACAAGGGGAGGGCACACTTCGACCCGTCGATGTGGCCCCCATGGGCTCATGTAAATTCGATATCGAGCCAAGGAGTGGTGTTCGGAGCTTTGGTTGTTTTGTCGGGTTAACCACAGCTCATAATGAAGCTGTGATACAGGTTTTTCTACACCCCCGAAGCCCGTCGACGATGATCAAAGCCCACTCTTGAGGCCATTTTAGAAAAGTGTTCGGATTCCAATAAAAGCGCTCGACCCTGAAAAACCCTACGGTTTAGAGGATAACTATAACAAATCCAGGTCGAGAGGAAATCGACAAATGAGGTGCCAGGTAAGGTAAGCCCCAAACAAGCCTCACTGTCGCTCAGAGCCGGCGGCTCAGAGACTGCTGCACTGGCTGCAAAGCAGCGAGATCCGTAATCTTAAGAACCCTAAATCAAGACCCTAAATCCCTAAAACCCTAAGTCTTAATCACCACTTGCGGTGCTGGTTGTCAGCGCTCGGAGACTCTGGTCCCGCAGACCGAAAACCTCAAGCCCCTGTCAACCCTAACTAATAATAACCTTCTACAGTCGCCATCGGTGATGGTGGTTTCCGGCCCCAAGAGCCTTTATTAGCTAGGTCTTAGGGTTTATATAGGTAGTAGGGGATTCGGGTTGAGGGCCCAAGAGAAAATGCAGGCCATCTGCATCGGACTTGTAGAGATTCCATTGTAAGTTCAGTCTTCAGTCTTGCAGTGTCGCCATACCCTGCGCTCGACGACTCACTGCTGCGCCATACCCTGCGCTCGACGACTCACTGCTGCTTTGCCCCGGTGGCTGCAGGAGGATCGAAGGCCCGACCTCGGAGGGCTTGCGGAAGGGCTCGGAAGTTAGGTTGGGTTGTTCTGGCTCAAACATGTTATGCGACGCGGGACTGTCTCGCAAATGTCTCGCATTTCTGCTTGCGTCTAACAAACCATGGTTTGCGATACGGGTAGAATAGGTACGGGTTGCAATACGGGTAGAATAGGCAGTGTACTGTCCACTACTACTACTACTACTACTACTACTGCTGCTACTACTACTACTACTACGGCCGTAGCCCTAGGTTTGCCGGCAGGCGCAGTACTTTCGAGGGTTGGAGGGTTCTGATGGCAGGAGACGATTTCCGTGTAAAATTTAGAATTTTACGCGCAAATTGGTGTTTGCTGCGACAGCCGAAACTTCATAATACGTGGCCAGCGCAAGACTTTTGAGACTTCTCGGCAAGTAGCAGGGCTCAAGACGCGCGGCCTTTTTTTGGCTATGTTACCGCCGTAGAGCACGACGGCAAGTGCAAAATACGTGGCAGGCGCAGTACTTTCGAGGGTTCTCAGAGTCTGATGGCAGGAGATGATTTCCGCGACAAATCACAAATTTGTCGCGCACGTTGGTCTCTGGCGCGGGGGCCGGAACCGCAAAATACGTGGCCAGCGCAGTACTTTGGAGACTTTGAGGCAGGCAGCAGTGCTTGAGCCGCAGGGCCGTTTTTTGGCTGCCTTGAAGGTGCGCTGCCCGAAGAAGCGCACATAATCGGGTGTGCGATGCCAAGTCAAACGATTGTGCAGGAAACAGGAGCAGTGTGGCTCCGACCGCTCCCGACCAGACGAGGCTATGCCAGGCAGAGTAAAGTTCATCTTCTATAGTGTTGTGCTGTGCCAAGGCCTGGTAGCAGAAACGGTCACAGCTGAAGGGGTCCTCTGCTATGCTGTGCAGCAAGAATCTGTGCTTGGAGGTCTTAGGCTCGGCATCTTCTGCTTCTGATGAGCTGGATGCGGAGCTGTGCGTGAGGCTGTCTTCTTGCATTTGTGCTGGGCTATGCGTACAAGGAGTAGCTTCGGGTTGCTGTGCTTTTGGGCAATGCTGTTCTGCCGGTGCCGCGGTTACGTGTGCCGGTGTTGTGGTTGTGCCATGCGTGGCGGCTGAAGTCTGTGCAGCCGGGAGAGTAGGCGAGGGCAACTGGGCCTGCCCGGCCAGTTCCAGCTGCGGTTTTCAGGAGCTTGGCGGCTCCTGGGGGTTGCGGTGCTGACAGGCGGGATGACTTTTGCCGCATGGCTCACCGTTGGGCATTTTGTATGCGCATGCGTGAAGATATTTGCACTGCGCGTTCTTGCAGTGCCCTTTATTGTACCGAATACAGAAGGTCTTGTTGCCGTGCTGTTGCACGAGGTCCGCTGTTTTGACCTCCTGTGCGGTGCCCTCGCCGGGCGTGCGCCTTTTGCCTGGCTGTGTGCCTTGCTTGCCTTTGCCCCCTTTCTCCTTGCCTTTGCCTTTGCCGTTGCCTTTGTTCGGTAGGCGAGGCGGTGGCTTTTGCGGGGGGGGAGGCGGCCGAGCGCGTAGCTGGAGGAGGTTGCCAATATCCGAGCGGATGCTTGTCATTTCATGCAAGGCATCATCCAATGTCCAACCGGCGCTGTGCAAAAGCGAGATCTCGCGCCACAGTTTGCGGTCAGCCGCGACAAGCTCTTGCGTGGTGACGGTGCGGAGCGATGCGTCGCTTGGCGATTGCGTCGCCAGATCGAGAATCTTTTTGTCATATGCCTTAAGGCGCTGCAGGTGCGCTCCTTTGCACAGTGCTATGGCGTTGCGGAATACTGTTTGAACTCTGCCGAGCCATGCGGCGCTAAGCCTGAGATGATCAACCGGCATTTCCGGTGTGTCATCAAAAAGTGCGGTGCTGAGGAAGGCTGCTTCGGTGCGGATGGTGCGCGATGCTTTGCTCTCTATGAGATCTTGATATTGCTTCTCCGAAAGTCGGAGTTGCCAGGGCACCCAGCTAATGGTGTTCCCGGGGGAAAACCAACGATGGATTATGCTAAGCAAGCGCACGCTGGGCATAGCGTCGCTGTCAAGGTGTTCGCCCGGGTAGTTAGTGCGAAAGTCCTTGACGAGCTGTGCAATGCTGGATGCGTCCAGTCTGGACGGGGCGTGTTCCGCCCATACATTAAGCGACGCTTGGGCTGTGCTGGCGATGCTGTGAGATGCAGGGGTGTCTGCCACTTCCGTCATGGATTGTGCACGGCGGAGTGCTCGGCGAAGGCGCGCCATTGCTGGGCAGTGCACTGGGTCTGAGACGCCCAATTCATCCCAGAGCTCATCGTATTTGTCAGAGCAGAACACATCAAGGTCTGCAGTGCTGTTATATGCAAATGCGAAATCTGGCACCGACTCAATGCCGGTTCTGTGCAGTGCGTTGCAGAGGGCTTCAGGCACCTGCATCTGTGAGAGGAGATCCGAAAGTGCGTCCGGGGACTCCATTCTGCAGGCTAGTAGCGAAAAAGTAGGGTCTATAGTTCGAGCAAGAAAACGGCTGCGGATGTAAGGATGGCGGTGACGAGGCATCTGGTGCAGGGCAGATCCAGGGCGGCGCACCCGAAGAGCGACCTGAGTAGGCAAAAGCTGAAGGATATGCGGCGAGTAAAACCACAGCAAGAAAGAGGTTCCTTTTTTGCTTCAAGCGCCATTGCGGAGTGCGACGCAAGCCGAGCGACGGCAATGAGGCTGTGGCGGTGCGTTGGAAGTGAAGGCGGCTGTGCCTAGCTTGATCCCGCATGCTGTGCGCAGCACGCCGGATTCATCAGGGGGGCAAAGCGAGTGCCAACAGCCCCAGGGGCCTGTGCATGCAAAGAGCGGTGTTGGTCCTTCCAAGTCTATTTGCAAGGGTTCTTTGGAGGACACTGATGATGCTTCGCTGGAGGATTCGGAGCTTTGGCGTTGCAGTGCCGCGTTTTCCACCATCCAGGCTTCTTCATCTGAGAAGGGTGCGATGGGGTCTGGCGATTCTGGCGAGAATTGCTCAATGATATCTGGCGAGCTCTGCGTAGCCTGCTGCGATGCCGGGTCCAGCTGTGTAGGTGCCGGATGATGTTGCGATGCGGCGTGCATTTCTTCGTGCCTGGATGCAAAAGCTTTCCAAGGACCTGCCAGAATTTCCTGAGCTGTGATGCTTTGCAGTGGCTCCCCCGCTGGGAGGTGAAAAGGAGGCTCTGGAATGGGTGCTTGGCCTCCTCTGGCAACACTGCGGTTTGGTCGCCAGCCTGTGCTAAATGCTTGTGCGAGGCGGTGCTGGAGGTCTAGGCTGTCGAAAGTGTCATTCCGGCTGTAGAGCCTCGCGCTGTCCCTGTGGTGTCCTTGAGCCAGGCGTAGCTCTTTGTAGACGCGTAGCTGTGCGGCCGCTGCCAACAGGGTGCTTTTCATGCTGTGCAGGGTGAGTTGTCTAGCTTCGCTGGGCAAGAGACCATTGCCGCTGGCCTTCCATGGCAGGGTGGCCAGGTATCTAAGGCTGAGCAGAGCAGTGCAGTATGATGCTGGGACAAGCTCTTCGACCAAGCTTTGGTCTAGTGCCGTGCTGAACCACAGAAAATCCGGCGGATCTTCCGATGAGGATGCCACGATGCGGTGCAATGCTGAGAGCCAGTGCAGGGTCCAGCAGGTGGCCTTGCACCGGCCAGTGATACCCGCGAGGGTAACTGCGAATGGCTGGCCTTGCGTTGTAGTTTTCGTCGCCCAGCAGGTGCCGTGCAATGCGGAAGTGGAGAGCGAGAGGCTGGAGAAGTCAATGCGTTGCAGGTCGCCAAAGCGCAGACTGGCGTGGATGGCGAGCAGTGCAGCCCCCAGGACGACGACAGTTGTGACGGGGGCGTTTGGGTCACAGACGCGCTGCTCCCAGGCAGCGATTAGTGCCCAGGGGATGGGCAGTGCTTCGCGACGGTCTTGGGCAGTGCCTTTGAGGGAATAGGCCCGTATAATCGGGCTGTCTAATGCGTTGCTAAGGCATGACCATTGCGTTTGCCTTACGAACCAGCGAAGGGCTTTGATAGAAGATGCGGCGCTGATGCGATGGATCTCAAGGTCTTGGCTGTGCGATGCTCTGGCTAGGGCGAGGAAGTCGAGTAGGCAATGCAGGCTGACGTCGAGGAAGCTAACTGCGGAGCTGCAAAGAAAGTCCATGAATAGCGATGCAATGCGGAGATATCGCTCCAGCGTGCCTGGTGTGTTGTTGCGGATTACTGCCATAATATGGTCCGATGCTTGTTTGGCTGCTTCCACCGATTGCAAGAGATGCGAGGCTTTGCCTAGCTTGTACACTAGCTGCAGCCAAAGCGTACCGCATATGTTCATGCGCGATGCTAGGGAGCTGCGCATGGTTCTGAATTTGACTGTGCGCGGCCTGGGAGGCGCAAGAGGAGTCTGAGATGCCGGCGGCGGTCGTGGCGTGGCCGGAGAGCTTTGAGGAGAGCTGTGCGGGATGATTTGCGTAGCAGTAGATCCTGCAAGGCTGCGCGGCAGCGATGGAGGGGGCGGTGGCGGCAGGCCGCCAAACTGCAGTGCCGGCTCGGGCCTATATCTTTTCGGCGGCGGTGCTATGTGCAATGCTCGATCCGCCTGCGGGACCGGCGGGTAGAATGTGTTCCGCCTGGGCGTCGCCCGGGCTGTGGCAGGGCCCAGCAACTGTTGGAAGGTCGCCATGGCTGTGCTTGGCGATGGGCGGATTTTTCGGGTGTGCCTGCAACAGACGCTGCCGTTGGAAGACCTGTGCAATGGAAGGCTGGATAGGTGCAGGGTCTTCTATGAAGTCTGAGCAAGGCAGTGCGGGTTCTGCAGCCAGCGCGGCCAGATGTGCCTCAAAATCTTCGGCTATGCTCCTGGGAGGCGATGCTGGTTGAGACTCCACTTCGATTGGAGTGGAAGGTGCGGTGGTAGTGCGATCTTGGCTTTGCAGGGCCCAACGACGTCTCATGGTTTGAACCGTTTGAGCAGAAAAAAGGCTGCGGGGGATGCTGTGCTTTGCTTGCGGGTTGTGTGTGCCAAGCAGTGCTGTGCAATGCAGAATGTCAACTGAGCTGAAACCACAGAGCTGACTGGTGCATTCAGGGCCGGGCCAACCTGAGGGGCAAGGCATTGCCTTGCCTAGCACGACTGGATGTGCTCGTACCGGTGGTCCTGACAGGTTCGCTTGCATGGCGAGTGGCACACCGGTGAGTGCAACCGTGGGGCCTTGCCAGGCAGTGCAGGGCTTCTGTCCTGACAGAAATAAGCATAGCTGCGTAGCGACGGCTTGCTATATATGAAGTGCATTGCCGTGGCGGTGCTTATTTTGCAGGCTGCCGAGCGCGGCAGTCGGGGCAGTTCGATGCTGCCGTGCATTTCAAAAAACCACTGCAAGTGCGATGCGATGCTAGGCTAAAGCATAATGATGCTCGCTATTATGCTTAAGGCTAGGCTAGGAGGCTAGGCTAGGCTACGGTCAGATATGATGCATTACGGGGCGGTGCAGGGATGGCAGGTCGCTCAATCCGAGTCCTGCTCATCCCTTTCTTTGCACTTGCTGCAGCGGTGCGGTGCATGGCCATCGCTTGGGGGGGGGTACCGCAACTTTTTGTTGCAGGCCGCCCCCCCAAACTTGCAATTTGTCTCACACATTGCTGCGCAGAGCCAGTCGCCTTTGGCGCTTTTGTAGGCAGGGCGCTCATCCCCTAAGGGAGAGGTGTACCACCGCACCTCGCAGTGGATGTGCGGGGACACTGCCACGCGGCGCGAGGCCGGGCGTTGCGTTGCGTGAGGCGGTGGTGGGGGAGGGTATCCCCAGCCAGCGGGGCAGGGCTGGGCAGGGTGCCATTGCTGCGGTGCGGGTTGCTGTTGCCAGGGCGGTGGTGCTGCTGTGAGAGGGGCGTATGGCATCTGCTGTGCAAAGGGCGGTGCGTGTTGGGGGGGGCCCCATTCTTGCTTCCCCCAGCCTTTGCCAAACTCCGGGGCCCCCCCCATTTGCCCGAAGTGCGGTGACGAGGGCATTGCAGTGCTGGGAACAGAAGACCCCCAGTCGTCTTCCACATCGCTCCACCTGGGGCGAGGCGGTGTGCGGTTGCGGCGCGGCGTGTGCTCCCGCTCTCTGCGAGGCGTAGTGCGGGGCGATGCCGGCGGTGTTGGCTGAGGTGGCGGTGCGGGTTGTGCCTGCTGTGCTGGGGGGGGTGGCTGTGCTTGTTGCTTTGCTGGGGGCCCTGTCCCGGGAGGTGCCTTGGCTGGGATGGTGGCTGTGGGGGGCGGTGCGGCTGCGGCTGCTGCTGCTGCGCTTTGCGGTGCGGTGCTTTGCTCTGCTGGACCGAAAATGGTCAGGCGGGCTTCGCTGAGCTCGCTTTGCAGTGCGTCGATTCTGCTGTAGCCGAGCTGCCGAAAAGCGCCGATGCGTTGCTCGCGGGACGCCTGCAAAAGTGCTTGCAGTGCTGTGCTCGTTCCGGCCATGCCTTGCGATGCGATGCGAGGCGAGGCGGGTGCGGAGGCAGTGCAGTGCAGTGCAAAAGCGAGAATGCTTGATCAGAAGGCTATGCAACATCATGTGTAGTTGAACAGTGCGAGGCAACACACAGGCAACGAAAGCAGTGCAACACGATGCAGATGCAGGGCTTGAGCAGTCCTCGCAGGTCGGTGTCGTAGAAGTCCAGTACCTGGGCAGAGCGTGTTAGGGACAGGCGGGGGCTTAGGGGTTGCAAAGAAAAAAGGCTTGGCGCAAGCGACTGAGGTTTCGAGTCGATGTTGTAGTCGTGACCTTGGCGAGGCAGCGATAATTGCAAGTAGCAAGTGAGGCCTTGCTAAAGCTTTGCTGAGCTGGACACTGCGTGGCCAGGCAAAAAAGGGGCCTTCAGTGCAAGAGGCAGCGCAACGAAAACAGAGAAGAGGCTTCTCCGGGGCCCATGCTGGGCTGATGCAGTCATGTGACCTGCCAGGCGCGGCAAGTGCCGAAGAAAAGACCAGCTGGACTGGCCTGGGGGTGCAGCGCGGCTGACCTGACAGAGCGATGCGAGGCTATGCGAGCCCAGCACGAAGCAGCAAGTTTGAGGCAAACTTGAAAAGGAAATATCAGAAAGCAAGGCGTTCTTTCCTATGCGTGGCTATGCAATGCGTTGCAAAAATCATCAATCAATGAACTCGACTACGCAGAGCGTGCTGCGTTGCGGGTTGAAAGAAAATGGTGGCAAGATCTGTGCAAAAACGTCGTGATCATGGTGGCGGAGCCAAACCATTGCAGTGCGTCCATCCAAATCAATGGTACCTGTGCGTTGCATAACGCTCTGTATTCTGCGGTGCAATGTCGATGCCGTTGCTCGCAATGCTCGAGTTTCTGCATATGCGAAGTGCTTGAGTAAATAAAATACAATATGGCTATCCAGCGATGTCCATGTCTTGCGCCATGAGCTGTGCTCTGCAGTGCTAGGGCTTTGTGTAGCTGTGCCTTGCGGGGCACTGCGGTGCATAGCATCCAATGCAAAAGCGCCGAAATGCATTGCATTCCACTGCAGTGCGGTAAAGGAAAAGCGCAAGAGCCGATACCTGAAAACGTCAAAACTCCGCCGTGCACTGCGTGCGGTGCGTTGCAACCTGCGTTGCAATTGCTGGCGCCATGCGACGAAGATGGATGCAATGGTGAGCCAGGCCCAGGCTGAGCGGGGCGTCGCAAGCATTGCGGTGCAAGGCTATGAGCTGTGTCTATGCAGAGCTGCGTTGGCAATGTGTCGATCATGATTCGATAAAAACCACAGGCTGTTGGCGGTGCAGTGCACTGCTTTGCAAAGCTGGCTTATGGTTTTGCGTTCGTGCCATGCAAGGCTGCTCAAAATAATGCATGCAGTGCGTTGGGAAAGCAGAATCTCCTTGAGCTCAGCGATAGAGAGCGTTGCAGGGTCAGATCTGCTTGGCTGTGCGATGTAGATGCTCATCAGGGCCTCCACCTGCTGGGCGTGGCTGTGAAGGCTTGGCATCGATGAAGAGGCCGAAGGCTCCTCAAGGCTGAGCGATGTCAGTTGAGGTTCCAGAGTAGTGCAGCTCGGCGGTTTGCTGATAGATTACAAATGCTAAATGCGTTGCGATCATTCCAATCAAGGCTGCTGAAGACAAAGCTGGCTGTGCGAGGCGATATAAATAATTCCACAAGGTTGGGGAATACAGGTGGGGTGCTAACCTCACTGGCCGGCATTGCCATGCACTCTGCGAGCCATGCTTCGACTCTTGCTCTATGGCTGTGCGAGGGCTCTGGCGATCGTTCTATCGCCTTGGCGGTGCGTTGCTTCTTGTTCCCCACACGCTGTGACATGGCGGGGACAGGAAATGCAAGCGAAAAACTGTGATGCTGTAAAGGCTGCGCGTATGCAGTGCGTGCTAGTCCATCTCTTCTAGCGGAGAATCAACAGTATCCGTGCATTGCGGTGCGCCTTCCAGGATTGCAATGCGGCGTTCCAGGCTGCCGAGCTTTGCAAGGACCGCCTGAATGCGGTCAGAGAGTGCGTCTATGCGCTCATGAATCGATGCGCCCATGTCGATGCAATCTTCTGCGAGGCTTTGCAGTGCGCGGACCAATTGGTCCGGGGTGGCTGCCTCGGGCGGATCCATGGCGTCGATATGGCGGAAAACTGCCATGCAATGCGTAGCAAGAATGAAAGTGCGTATGTGTTTGCTACATGTTGAAAAATTTCTTACGCATGCGATGCGAGAAGGCGAACACTAGTTGTGAGTGCTTGTGCCAAAATGGCTACGGAGCGTTAAAAGGTTTCGACACAGATAAGAAAACACAGTTGAATCAAAAACACAAACTCACAACTAGCATACGTGGCCAGCGCAGTACTTTGGAGACTTTGAGGCAGGCAGCACTGCTCGAGCCGCAGGGCCGTTTTTTGGCCAGGTTCTTTTTCGCAGTGCGCACTGTAAGCAAACTCTAAACCCTAAACGGAGATGCTGCTGAGCAAACCCAACACCCTCAGGGGAGATGTTGGTAAGGAGCTGTCCATAGCCAAACACTAAACCCTAAAAGAAGATGTTGGTAAGTAAACCCTAAGCCCTAAAAGGAGATGTCGGTGACGATGAAAGTTGGGACGCAAACGCAGACCCTATAGGAGCTCTCACAGTAATATGCCTAATAGTAGCAACCCTTGAGCCAAACCCTAAACCCTAAAAAGAGATGTTGGTAACCAAACCCTAAACCCTAAAAGGAGCTATCGAAAGCCAAACCCTAAACCCTAAAAGGAGATGTCGGTGAGCCAAACCCTAAACCCTAAAAGGAGATGTTGGTAACCAAACCCTAAACCCTAAAAGGAGATGTCGGTGAGCCAAACCCTAAACCCCAAAAAGGAGATGCTGGTCAGCCAAACCCTAAACCCTAAAAGGAGATGCTGGTCAGCCAATCCCTAAACCCTAAAAGGATATGTCGAAAGCCAAACCCTAAACCCTAAAAGGAGATGTTGGTAACCAAACCCTAAACCCTAAAAGGAGATGTTGGTAACCAAACCCTAAACCCTAAAAGGAGATGTTGGTAACCAAACCCTAAACCCTAAAAGGAGATGCTGGTCAGCAAAGCCTTAACCCTAAAAGGAGATGTCGAAAGCCAACCCTGCCAAAAGGATGTTGAAAAGCAAACCCTGAAAAGGATGAATGTTGAGATTCCCAGTGGCCTTTCCGTGGCCAGGGGTGCCAGGAAGAGTGAG